CTTAACAGCCAATTGATCTTTGACAAAGCAAACAAAACATAAAAGTGAGGAAAGGACACCCTATTCAACAAATGGTGCTGGGATAATTGGCAAGCCACATGTAGAAGAATGAAACTGGATCCTCATCTCTCACTTTATGCAAAAATCAACTCAAGATGGATGAACGACTTAAATCTAAGACCCAGAGTCATAAAAATTCTGGAAGATAATATCGGAAAACCCCTACTAGACACTGGCTTAGGCAAAGACTTCATATGACCAAGAACCCAAAAGCAATTGCGACAAAAACAAAGATAAATAGATGGGACTTAAACTAAAAGGCTTCTGCATAGCAAAAGAATCAGCAGAGTAAACAGATAACCCACAGAGTGGGAGAAAATCTTCTCAAAGTATACATCTGACAAAGAACTACTATCCAGAATCTACAAGGAACTCAAATCAGCAAGAAAAAAAAACAATCCCATCAGAAAGTGGGCTAAGGACATGCATAGACAATTGACAGTTGTCAAAAGAAGATATACAAAAGGCCAACAAGTATATGAAAAAATGCTCAGCATCCCTAATGATCAGGGAACTGCAAATCAAAACTGCAATGTGATACCCCCTTACTTCTGCAAGAATGGCCATAATCAAAAAATAATAGATGTTGGTGTAAATGTGGTGAAAAGGGAACACTCCTGCATTGCTGGTGGGAACGTGAACATGAACAATCACTGTGGAAAACAGTGTGGAGATTCATTAAAGAACTGTTAGGTTGGTGAAAAAGTTACTGCAGTTTTTGCCATTAGTTTCAATCAGCAAAATCCACAATTACTTTTGCTCCAACCTAATAAAAGTAGCGCTTTTGGTCCAGCAATCCCACTACCGTCTACCCAGGAAAAAAAAAAAAAAGGGGGGGTCGTTATACAAAAAAGATACTTGCACACACGTTTATAGCAGCACAATTTGCAGTTGCAAAAATATGGAACCATCCCAAATGCCCATCAATCAACAAGTATATGTATATACACCACATTTTCTTTATACACATATATACACACACACTCACACCTACACACATACACCATGGAATACTACTTAGTCATAAAAAGGAATGGAATAATGGCATTCACAGCAACCTGGATAGAATTGGAGACTCTTATTCTAAGGACTTTGGGAACTTGGGGCAAAGGGTGGGACAGGGGTGAGGGATAGAAGAGTACACACTGGGTACAGTGTACACTGCTTGGGTGACCGATGCACAAAATTTCAGAAATCACCCCTAAAGAACTTATCCATGTAACCAAACACCACTTGTTCCTCAAAGACCTATTGAAATAAAAAATAAAATTTAAAAAAATAAAATTTGAAAGCTTAGTAAAATCCAAGAAGGATACACACATACGCATATACATATATATAAATGAAACCATAGATACCTCCTAATTAAACTGAAGAAAATGAAAAATTTATATTCCTTTAGAGTATAAATATACACGCGCGTGTGTGTGTGTGTGTGTGTGTGTGTGAGAATGAAACCATACCTAGGTACCTCCTGATTAAACTAAAAAGAAAAGTACAAAAGCAACCAGAGGGGGAAAAAAATGTGTTAGGTTCAGGGAAATCATAGTAAGAATGATGCCTTCCTTCTCATAAGAAGTAATGGAATGAAATCATTTTCTAAAAGCAAATGGCTATTAACCTAGATTTCAATACCCAGGAAAACATTCTTTGTAAATGAATCCCTACTAAAGATTTTTCAGGAAAAAACAACACATAGTCACCAGCAGACTTACACTACAAAATAACAGGGGGTTAATGATCTCATGTGAAAGCCTGGATCTGTAAGAAGGAATAAAGATAAATATATCGGTTTAAAACAACAATACTGAAAGTGTATTATGGTGTTTATAACATATAGAAGTTAAATACAAGGCAGCAAAAGCCTGAACGGTGGTTGGATAAATGGGGTTAACACTTTTAAGTTGCTGATATTATTCTTGAAGTAGAAAAAATCCTAATTCAAAGTATAGTAAAGTTGTATGTTGTAATCGCTATATTAGCCATTAAAAAATATGAAGAGATGTAGCTAAAAAGCCATCAGGGGACATAAAATGGAAGAGTAAAACTATTTGACTATTCCAAAAGAATATAGAAAAAGAGGAAGAAAGGAACAAAAAGAAATGCAGTAAGATAGCAAAATGCTAAACTTCAACAAAGCCGTATGAGTAATTGCATTAAATGTAAATAGTCAAATCATTGAAAGGCAGAGATTGTTAGACTGGACAACCTAGCAGTAATGTTTATTGATAGATTGATTCTTTATTCTGCTGACAGACTGCCTTTCTAATTTTTTTCATTTTTATTTGTTGATAGGTCGATTTATTCTACCTATATTCTATATTCCTGAGTTCATTAGGACATATGCAGATTTTAAAATATTTCATAATAACATCAACATTTTAACTATATTCCTTTACAATTATGTTGAATGAACATAACATGTATAATTTAGAGTATAAACAATAGTATTTTTATTTATTACAGATTTACCAGAAAGTAAGTGTATTATTAGTGTTCTCCAGAGAAACAGAACCAATAGGAAGTCCATAGAGAGAGAAAGGTTTACTTTAAGGGATTGGCTCAAACATTGTGGGGGCTGGCAAGACCAAAATCTGCAGGCTAGGCCAACAGGAGGGAGACGTAGGAAAGAGTTGCAGTTCCAGTCTGAGGGCAGCCTGTTGGCAGAATCCCCTCGCTATCAGGTGAGTTGTCATTTTCTTGAGGCCTTCATCTGGTTGAATGAGGCCCACGTACATTATGGAGGACAGTATGCTTTACTCAAAACCTGTTGATTTAAATGTTAATTCCATCCAAGACCTTCAGAGAAATATCTAGAATAATGTTTGATCAAGTATCTGGGAACCATGGCCTAGTTAAGTAGAGATATAATAGTATCCATTATAGCAAACTGTTTATTTTAAGCTTTCAATTATTGTTATACCTTAATAAAAGTGAAATGAGATACAGATAGGTTTTTAAGTAAAATTTACCTAAAATAGGAAGTTATTTTGATACATTTTTTCTAAAGTTTATTCCTTTCTATTTATTTTTTACTACAAGCTTGAACAAACATGCATAATTGTATCTCCAAATGATATTATTTATATATGTAATCTAAATTTAAAACTAAGATTATAACTTTGGATAATCCACTTTTTGAAATTCTAATTTTCAAAACATTCTTATCCTAAAATTGAAACTCTAAAATCTGTAGAGTTTTTTTTTTTTTTTTTCTTGTTATCATATAAACTATGTGTATAGATTTTTTCCTGGTTTACTTTGGTTTTTATTATTTTAAAGTTCCTTTTCTCCAATTGAAATTACTTTCTATTTAGATAAGAATTTAAAAATCGGTAATCAGCCTAGGTCAATTTTATAGCAGTCAGATTACAGTAGCGAGAAGACGTGTGTGAGATGTTGTTAATTGCTGAACTCTGGCATGACCACTCTCATTTGAAAGCCAGTTGCCATGCCACACAGTTCTCAGTGGTTGCAGCTAGGATTGTGAGACTGTAGGGGCTGACAAAGTTGGGATTTCTCAATTTATTCTCTGTATGCTTCTGTATTGTTAAAATCTTACAATAGGAATCTACATTACTTGAGTATTTGCCTGCGTGTTGTACCCTTTGAAAAAAAAAAATTTACCCAAAACTGGTGTTACTCTATGAAGAAGTGTGTCTTTCCATCAAAATTACCTTAAAGATTTTATTACACTTAAGATGAAACTCTGTTAATTTGCTCTGTGGTAGTTCTTCAAAAAAGGATATCCATATTTTACTAGACTCTTGTAGTCAGAAACTGTAATATATTCATCTTTTATCACTGGGTGCCAAGAATAACCACTCAAAAATATTAGTCAATTGAATGAAGGTAGTATAGTGCTTTATACTTCACTGGCTAACAATAAATGTTAAAAAAATTTAATGAAACAAACTTACTTTAATCATGTTTCATGATTCATTTTGAAAATACTCTTGCAAAGCGATAGAAAGTGATTGTTTGTGTTGATCTCACTTAATCCTTTACCATACTTTAAGAAAAATGAGTCATATGCTTTTAGAAGAAGAACTAATATTTAAACTAGGAATTTTACTAATTGCTATTAACAGACATTGTAGTTCTTGCCTCTAGTCCTGCATATGACAACCTTTAGCATTATTTGAACAAACTGTTAATATCCTAAATTATAGGTTAGTTTGCTAGTAGACAGAAATTAGGAATTAAACAAGACCCACACTTGTGTTCATTTTTAACTTGAGTTAGACTTTGAACCAGTGTCTTTACAGATGAGATGTCCTATGTCACGTCCTGAAAGGCTGTTTATTACAAAGAAATACAGTAGAGAACATTGAGAACAAAAAGATAAATCCACAAATGATAAAAGAATATTTCTCGAGATTAGCCGTCTGTGTTACCATTTTAAAGGAGGGAATCAGGGGAACATTTTTCTTCAGATACTCATGGTGATTGAGTAAATAGAGTATGTCATAGTAGGAAGTCAGATGATCAAAGAGAAATTCAGATGGATTTATTTATTCTTTTGAGAAAATAAGACAGTGGTGATTCACTTCATAGCCCTTGTGACACTTCTTTTTAAAAACTTCATATCCTTGAATCAGAAATAAAACTTTCATAGAAGAAAAGCAGCAGAGCCCAGATAATGGTGTGATTTTTGAGCTGAGAGCAGGATATGGACGCATCTTGCACTATTGCTAGGCATCACTTGAATGGGAAAAAAGACTTAGGTAACCTTGAGTCAGTTTAGCTAAACTCACCAACTGTTTCTGACCAAAGAATTCATGATACATCTTTAAAGGATCCTGCCTTCCGAGTGAGACTTTTTTCTTGGAAGCTGTGTGAGTCATAATAAATGTTTTTCCACTAAAATGGCATAAATATTTTCAACATGAAATGGACAGGCTTAATAACCAAATATTCACATTGTTTTCTTTCCACAGGGATTATCAGCATAGGAAGAAAGCCTTGTAACCATCAGGTAGATACAGCACCAACGGTAAGACAGTCTGTTGCTGCATTGTTAAAAGTGTTAAGAAACTACAAAATTATACTGGTTATAGTTACAGTGGCATTGTAGAAAGCTCTTACAACCTCCCTTTTGCCGAAAGTTATATCCCTGCAAGATTGGTTTTTATTAATGTTGTTAACTTAGAGATAATTTATAGTTTTGATAATGTAATGTAAATATTTGTACAAATTGATTTTTACCGTTCTAAAAATGAATGTTATTTTGTGCACCAGCATCAGCATCATTATTTAAAGTGAATGTTTTATAATAGTGAAAAAAGGCCATTATGCTTCATTTCTCTTATAGGTTACTTTGCTTTATTATTATAGAACTGAAGTCTTATCTTTTATCCCTCTTCTCAACAAAAGGCATTTAACAATTATAGCATCTATTCACTATATTTAAAAAGTTTTATTAATAAAAGGAAGAGAATTAGATTTCCCTTTTAGTCTCTAAATATAATATTTGTGTGAAACATATATTAGTTGCTAGTTTGCAATTAAAAGACTCATAAGGTGATATGGAGTACACTGTACATTCCCTAGTCCTACTCTTACTTCTTATCCTTTGTATTCATAAGTCTTCCACGTACTTCCTGTGATTCTCCATTTCCTGCTGTGAGAAAGATTTGGTGATATAGGTTGAGTATCCCTTATCCAAAATGCTTGGGACCAGAAGTGTTTTGGATTTTGGTCTTTTTCAAGTTTTGGAACATTTGTGTTACACTTCCTGCATCCCTGAGCCAAAAATTAGAAATCCAAAGTGTCCCAATGAACATTTTCTTTGAAAGTCATGTCAATGTTCATAAAGTTTCAGATTTTGGAGGATTTCATATTTCAGGTTTTTGGATTAGGGATATTTAAACTGTACCAATTAAGAAAATAAAGATGGCCGGGCGTGGTGGCTCATGCCTGTAATCCCAGCACTTTGGGAGGCCAAGGCGGGCAGATCACAAGGTCAGGAGATCGAGACCATCCTGGCCAACATGGTGAAACCCTGTCTCTACTAAAATACAAAAAATTAGCTGGGCATGGTGGTGCACGCCTGTAGTCCCAGCTACTCAGGAGGCTGAGGCAGGGGAATCGCTTGAACCCAGGAGGTGGAGGTTGCTGTGAGCAGAGATTGCGCCACTGCACTCCAGCCTGGCACCAGAGCAAGACGCCATCTCCAAAATAAATAAATAAAGATAATATTAAAGTATTTGAATTGTGTTGATGATTAATATATGCCTCAGTAGCAAATTGACTCTATTTTTTATTTATAGTAAATTCCTATGATTGATTTAACATGTTTGATAACTAATATGTGGGACTCCAGAAAAGACCAGTACATGAGGAATTAGCATACTCATTAAAAAGTACTTGACTGTAGTATGTATGTTTCAGTTATCCTTTAGTAAATATGCTAAAAGAGTAGCCATAACATGATTATAAATTTTTATTCTTTAGTATTAAAAATTAAAGATGGCAATTAAGAAAAATTTATTATTTTAATATATTTGAATAATATACTCAGTCCTTTTGATGTATTTTTTTGAGGAAGAATTGGGCTGCTCTTCTCTTCTGTGTCTCTGCTACAACTAAGATGTTACTACCTCTCTCCGTACAGCCTCCCAGCTTGCCAACACTTAATCTTTGCCCTTTCTCAATCACCTCTAAATGGAATCATAAGTCTGTTCATTATTATTACCCAATGCTCTCTGGTCCCAGACACAGACCAGGTAAAGTCTGATTTTCACAGAAATGTAATTTTACCTAATTTCCATCCTTGACCCTATATTCTCTTATTTTCTTTAAAGGCTTAGGAAGAAGAAATGATTAGATAGGGAGGAAAAAAGGAGTCTGTCTGAATATGTATCAAAGTAGGAATATTTTGTAGCCCCAAACTTTGTATTCTGCTGACTCAAAAAGAAGCCGATACCGTGATTTAAGTATCTGTTAGAGCCTGGAGAAAAAAACAGAAAGGGAGTGAGCAGGATTTAGAATAGCTGAGGCTGGGACCCGAGTGACTTCGCGACCCAGAGTTCCCTCAATTCCACAGCTTACTTCTTTACCAGTTTTCACACCACATCCTGCTGTGCTCACAAGTACTGCCATGATGGCAGTTCTAGGAGAGTGCTATATGCATAGTTGCAGCCATTAAATGGGTGAGGGAAATGAGCAAATGAGAATTATCAGACTCTTTTAAAAAGGAAAGATTTTTTTTTTTTTTGGTTTTTTTTTTTTTTCTCTTTTTGAGACAGTCTCGCTCTGTCGCCCAGGCTGGAGTGCCGTGGCTCAATCTTGGCTCACTGCAATCTCCTCCTCCAAGTTCAAGCAGTTCTCCTGCCTCAGAGCCTCCTAGGTAGGCTGGTATTACAGTGTGCGCTACCACGCCCAGCTAATTTTTGTATTTTTAGTAGAGACGGGGTTTCACTATGTTGGTCAGGCTGGTCTCAAACTCCTGACCTCGTGATCCGCCCGCCTCGGCCTCTCAAAGTGCTGGGATTACAGGTGTGGGCCACCGCGCCCCGCCGGTATGTTTCTTAACATTCCAAGTTGGAATTCTGAATGAAGTTTACAGTAAATATATGGTTATGGTCAATCAAACTTGAGTTTGATTCTATAGTACTATAATATAATCCAGTGTCCCTTCAGTAAATAAAGATCAGCCTGAGAACAAAGCCACCTCTGTCCCTTTGTTCCATGTCACCTCTCACTCTCTTTTTAATTTACTTGTTTCCTTTTTGTTTTTGATTTACTACATGAACTTTGATTTTTTTTGTTTGGGTTTTTTTTCTTTCTTTCTTACAAATAGTACCATATTTGTTTTTTTGAGATACCTTTAATAGAAAGTGAAAAAAAAATCTCCACATGACATGACATGACACCCCCTCCAGGAAAAAGAATCAAACCTCTATTTTAACTGTCTGTAATCACTTAATTTTTTTTTTTGGCATGCTGAGCTCTTAATTTTGTTTATCCCTCAGAGTACATTTTCTAATTGTTCTTCAAGAATTAGAAAATGGGAAGTGAATTATCCGAGTCTACATATTTTTAAATACTTGTCAGTTGCCTTTACTATTAGACAGCTTGCCAGGATTTTTAATTACTTGAACATAACCTTTTCTTCTCAAAATATTGTGGAAATTGATTATCTTTGCATTCTGGCATTTAGTATTGCAGAAGAGACATTGGACATCAGACTGCTAGTCATTCTCTTGTGTAAGGAACCTATGTGGCCTGCTCGTATATTATAGATATTGTTTTATTTTCTTTCTTTATACCTGATGTCCTAGGTCAGTTTTGATGGTTAAATGTGTGGCTTTCTTTTCACTGATTTTTGTCCTGAATGATATTCATTCAGACACTGTACTATTGATAATAGAAAAAGTAAATGAGACATGAGATAATCATGATATTAGATTATACGAAAAGATTTATATCATGCCACTTTAAGAATTAGTCCCTCTGCACCTGCTTATCGCTTATAGTAAGTTAAGGATAATATCAGCCTCAGATTAATCAGAGGTTATTGTCTGAACCCTAAAAGGCAGGTGTAAAAGTTAGTTAATTGTTAAGTCAGCACAAGTTTGAGTCCTGTATTTACTTTATATGAAGGACTTATTTGCAAACCAAAGGGAAATGGCAACTAGCATAAGGAAGTATTCCCCCAGGAACATAGTTAAAACATATCTACCTTTCAGTGTACAGTCATACGCGTGGCAAATCCCATAGCTTTTCACATTTTCTGGCAGAATTAATATACATGTAAAATACATTGAAACATAATAAGCCATACTGAATATATAATTTCTAATGTCTTGAGGAGTATTGTTTTTGAATCTCTTCCAGTGAAAACTAATATGATAAAATTCAAATGACGTCAATATGGCCTATTCGAATGAATAACTTAAATTTTGTACAACTCCTACATTCCAAAGTTGTAATACTAATATTAATATTTTTAGTTTTTATTCGATGACACTGTAACCCCTGGTAGAGAGTACAAAGCTTCTTTTAGCAAATGGATTTTGGGCAGTATATAAAATTACAGCTTGCATTTTCACAGAGGCCTACACATCTATCACAACTGGTTGAAATAAAATCCAGACTGTCTCATCAGGATTATACCAACTATGAAACACTTGCCATGTGTCTTTGTCTTAAGTATTCTTTTAATTATTAGAATTTAAAGCATCCTAACCTGATCGGAAATTTAAATGTTGATTCATTATTCTTCATATTTATAAGACCAATTTTAAAAGCTATTAATTTATTCCTTCTACAGTTACCCTTCTTCAAAGTTTTCCAAGGGCTAAATGAATTTTTGCCACATGATTTTTCATCAGTAGTAAACTTTAATATGCGCTAGACTTATTTTGTTATTCTGAAATATTTCTGAGATGTTTGTAATGTTGTTTGCCATTAACACTAAACTTATTCATAAATGTATTGATCTGAATCATATAAATTAAATTTTATCCTGAATCTCTTGGATTATATAATATCTGTACTTACTCAACAACTGTTGAGTTGTGACTGTTGTAAGATTGTTATCCTTGTTTAGCCCCTTCTGTAGATTCATAAGAGTGCCACCTATTGCACTATTATACTTTTGTATACTTTATACATATATTCATGTAAAATATGGCTGTTTCATATTTTAACATAATAACTGGGACAGCTTATATGTAGATACATGTATGAGTTCAAGTGAAATGTCCTTTATTCAAAGGAAGCACTTTATTTTCTACAATTTATTGCATTTTCCAAGAATTCATAGTATGTAAACTGGGGTGAATGGGCCCCTATAAAACTCATAAAGTAGAACCCATGGCCAATCTCTTCCTGTAGGTAATTGCAGGGTGGAGAGGGAACTAATAAACTATAAGCTTTTATAACTTGTCATAAAAGAACTTGTTTTCACTTATCAATAAAGTAGCAATTCAAAGCAGTTCTATTGAAATTCAAATATAAATGCAAAATATGTTCTCTTTAACAACCACT